AATGGACCTTGCTAGAATGTAAAAATAGCAAAGCCCTCCTTGCTTCTGTTGGGAATCTGTAAGCCTTTCCAGGAAGCTATTAACACTAAGCACACTCTGGGCACACAGATTCAAAGCAGTCAGCAGATCTTCTTAAAGATAAAGGCTGCTTTTATTTTTCTACTCTTCATGGTTCCTTCCTGCCCATCCTTTGCCACTCCCCATCCTCAAAAAGGACCATTCTGCTTCCCAAACTGGGGTGAGAATCCCAGCAGTGGAGAAACAGGACTCTAAAAGCCTCACGGAAGAAGGTCTTTATTGTGCATGAGCTCTGTGTGATGTGGACAGCTGTTCTACACCATACAGCCTCTCCACCCCTCCCAATGTTCCACTGGTGCTCAGCAACCCACAAGGAAAAGAATGGAAGGAAAAGGAATAACTGATGGAATCCATGTTAGGATATTTGATCAAATGTTCCAAATCCTGACCCTTGCCACTGTAAAATTTTGCCACCCCAGCAGAGGTTCCAGCTGCTGAAGGCGCAACAGGCTCCACCTAGAGCAGGGGCTGTCCATTTCACAAGATATCTAGTGTCATGGGTCCTCGGATGTTTCTCCTGACAGGAGTGAGGTTTTGGCTTCTAGGAAGAGCCAAGCAATCTGAAATGGTGAGAACGACAAGTCCTGGCTGTAGTGAAGCTTAGGACCACTCTCTCCTGCTGTACATTTGGCCTGACTACTGGCTAGGTAAAACCAAACCCAATCATCAGAGATAGATGCCTTGGGGGTGTTGTGGGTTTTTGTTTGACACACACAGTTGGAGAAACAACAAGAGTGCACTTAGAAAGGGCACTCGAATTGATTCAAGCACAGCTGGATGGGCAGCAGCTTGTAACCTAGAAATCAATTGTGCGGGACTTCACTAGTTCTACTGTTCTTCTCCAGGACTAAGTCACCAAAGGACAATGCTTCCCACATGACAGGCCTTTTGCCAACCTGTTGCATGCGAGTCCCCTCATTCAATATTAAGTGGCTACTTTAACGGGATATCAAACCTATGTCAAGATTAGAGGCTCTTCGGGCCCAGGCTGGGTGCAAGTATGTTGTTTATCCCTGACACATCCCACAGGTGGCTTGCCCATGCATCCCCTTCCTGCAAATAAACAGATGTTCACTCCAGTGGGACAAAAACACAAGTCCCAAGGGAGTGCTTTGCCCACTGAGCTAGAGACATGTTTCTGGTAGCTTGTGAAGGAAGCCTTGGGTGTTTATTTCCTGGTGTTTACACAGTCCTTCATCTCTAACTAGGATGGTCTCTTCACTTTCTCAGTGCAGTACAATCCTCCTAGACCAGAGCAGTGGGTATCCATCTGCCCACACTGAGAGTATCAGGGCAGTCCCACCCCAGGGCTAACATAAAATGCTGCAAAATCCACTCTCTGTGGGTTACTTGCAGCCAAATACTATCCAGCTAGCCTTAAACAACCTGATTCTTGGCTGCAGGCACCTGGCATTTTGTTACTGACTGTTCTGACAGATGGTGCCCCTGCCAGTAGTGCACTGTCCCCAAACACTCTCCAGGCAACAGCATTTGTTAATGAAGTCAGCTCATGTTATAAACGATCACGCTGCCAGCAGTTCACACTGTGCCCTCATCATCCCCAGATGTGGAGAGTGTTTGAGTAATGAAAGCTAGAGCCTGAAACAGAACAGCGCCTTCCCCTTCCAGAATATGCACCACTGAATTGGACATCATCCCTCATAATGTCAGCGTGGACCCCTCCACTGTCCTTGATCAGACCTGTATGTCTTGCTTCAGCTGAAATTGTCTGCTGCACACATATTCCCCATGTATCCCTTTTGGTAGCCCTGATGATTCTGGCTTGAGTCCTGTCTTCTTTAACCTGAAGTCATCCTTCATGGACATGGCGCCTATGCATTTCTCTCCAGTGTCTCTGGGGGTATGTCTACACTACCCTCCTAGTTCGAACTAGGAGGGTAATGTATGCATACCGCACTTGCTAATGAAGCCCGGGATTTGAATTTCCCGGGCTTCATTAGCATAAGCGGAGAGCCGCCATTTTTAAATCCCCGCTGCTTCGAACCCCGTGTAGCGCGGCTACACGGGGCTCGAACTAGGTAGTTCGGACTAGGGTGCCTATTCCGAACTACCGGTACACCTCGTTTCACGAGGAGTAACGGTAGTTCGGAATAGGACCCTAGTCTGAACTACCTAGTTCGAGCCCCGTGTAGCCGCGCTACACGGGGTTCGAAGCAGCGGGGATTTAAAAATGGCGGCTCCCCGCTTATGCTAATGAAGCCCGGGAAATTCAAATCCCGGGCTTCATTAGCACCCAGGGTATGTCTACACTACCCCGCTAGTTCGAACTAGCGGGGTAGTGTAGACATACCCTGGGATACTCTTAGACATTAGGGATGTGAAATATTGGTTAACTGAATAGCTGCGTAACCTCAGGAATTCTTATCGGTTACTCAACTATTCTATAGTCCCTGGGAGCGGGGCTGGCAACCAGTGTGCTCCAGCCCCACTCCCACAGAGACCCCTGCCATTCCGTGCTGCTGCCTCTATGGGGTGCAAGGCAGGAGCTGGTCCATGAGGGAAGCCAGTTTGAAAACCAGCTCCCCTCACAGATCAGCTGCCTGTCGCCCGCGCTGCTGCCTCCGATACAGTTCCGAACTTATAAGCTTTTGCTTATCGGTTACTTGACTACACTATTACATCCCTATTCGACATTCCCCTTGCGCCCCTTTCCACTGATCACTTCACATTGCAACATTTTTCAGTTGTGGGGGGAGAATGGGACATTGGAAGCAAAACAGACTAGGCAGGATAACATGAGCCCTTTCTTTAACTTTCTGACAACTTGGTATGGACTCACACGCAAAGGGGAGAGGTGACAGGGAGCGTGCCAACTATCAGAGCATATCAAGATCAGGCCAGGAAGGTTTAGGCTGGTCGAACGACTTGCTCCTAACTCAGTTTGTCTGTCTCATCATTATTCCCATTTACTTGTTGTTGTTCCACCTAAGTAAATGCTCCCCGCAAGCAACCGCAAAACAGTACAGAACAGCAACTTTCTAAGGCAACAAACTGTCCGTAGCTGGGGTGCTGAAGTCCACATGCTACGCCAGTGGCTGTCTTTTCTATGAGACATTCATGGGCAAACATGGCCTCCAGGCACCAGGACTGGATATTAAAGGTAAGATGGGGAAAATATGAATGTTTGATTCTAGTGACTACTGTTTGGTAACAGTTTGTTACCAAGGTGCTCAGCCTTATTCTTCATGCTACTTTTGACATCAGTGACCTCTGTGAAATCCACTTTTCTCCAAAACAGCTCCTTGATCACTGGAGAGATCCTTTCATTTCACTGTCTTGGGGCGGGGGTGTCCTATCTCAGCTGCAATGAAGAACCTTCCAGACTCTAAAGGTACGTCTAGACTACATGGCTCTGTTGACGGAGCCATGTAAACTAGTTTACCTGGCATAATCAATGAAGCGGGGATTTAAATAATCCCCGCGTCATTAAAATAAAAATGGCCGCTGTGCTGTGCTGACGATCAGCTGATCCGGCACAGCGTGGCAGCCTAGACACGGTGCGGTTGACAAGGGAAGCCTTTGTCGACTGCTCCGGTAAACCTTATTTCACAAGGCATACTGGAGCGGTCAACAAAGGCTTCCCTTGTCGACCGCGCCGTGTCTAGGCTGCCACGCTGTGCCGGATCAGCTGATCGTCAGCACAGCACAGCGGCCATTTTTATTTTAATGACGCGGGGATTATTTAAATCCCCGCTTCATTGATTATGCCAGGTAAACTAGTTTACATGGCTCCGTCAACAGAGCCATGTAGTCTAGACGTACCTTTAGAGTCTGGAAGGTTCTTCATTGCAGCTGAGATAGGACACCCCCGCCCCAAGACAGTGAATTTGAGATATCCCTTAACCCTCGTGAAACAAGGGTTACTGGGATGCCGAAACAGCACACCCATTATTTTGGGATGGCTGCTTGTGTACATGCAGGGTAGCTATTTCGGGATATCTCTGGTATCCCAAAATAGCTGTGCAGTGTAGACGGACCCTCTATCTTAAGGATACCCAGCCATGAACCCCAGGAATAAATCCTAGCAGCTCTCGGGGAACAGCTCTCTTCACCGGAGGCCTAGAACTGCCGCAGCCATCCACCAAGAATCAGGCAATTCTAAGGACCTCTGAACTTCTTTATTCATGCTCTTCACCCAGCTGTCAGCCAGCAAAAAGGAGTTTCTGGGAACAGGAGACTCTTCCTGAGCAGATCTGAACAGCTGAGGGGAAAGACCATGTCACGAAAGCAAAATATAAGCTAAAACATTGACAGAATGTAAGTGTAATGTTCTTTGCTACAGACTGATACAGCTCTGTGCAATTCCAAAAACACGTGCATTCTCTTAGCCATTCTCGGTGTGGGCCACCTGTAATGAGTGTGGAAGCTGTCTCTGTGGTGCGTCACAACCAGAAGGCCAACTCACATAGCAGTTCCCCTGGCATCTTGGGGACACCATTCCCCCCGCTCCTCTCCAGCATATCACAACAGTAGCAGTTTCCTTGTGCATGAGAGAACTGGAATGATACGTACCCACCATGCTTAAGAAATCCAGTGAGCTGTGAGCATCAGGGGCATACGGAGTTTGAGAGCAGCTGTGGGAGGCAGCCAAGAGAGTCAGGCAGGGCTGCTGCAAGCAGATTCATACTGTTCTCATGACACCAGTGTCCAAGCTAACAGTAGGATCACGAGTAAAAGGGTTCAGTGGACAGGATCCTCAAGCCCTGGATAGAACTGATGCTATGACTGATGCCAGTACTAGCATCAGGGGTCAAGTAACCATGAGTGCTGCTGAATGTTTCTAGTGATGCTGGTGTGGATAGAAAATCTCTTCGAACTCCTCCTGTGTAGAGGGTGTAGAGGGGAAGTAAGGCAGGCAAGGAGCACCACGTGGGTCTTTCTTGACCATGGGAGCTACCTACCTCTGTCCATGCTGTGCCATTTCAATAGCTCTGCGAGCTGGGACCGGGGAACCGCCATCTGTCACGCTGAGCACTTCCATCTCCTTCC